TTCGAGTTGCATTTGAGAAACCACGACCAGCTGGGCACGCGTATACATGCATTTATGCGCACGTATGTGTGGGAATGAATAGCGATCAAGTGGTCTTCAGGTCAGCAAGTGGGAACGGCCGCGTGTAAAGACAAATGACGTTGGGGGCCGCGGAAGGGGGGGGAGACAGGCCTGCCAGGACAAGCATTTTCCCCAACCAGATCGGTGAGCACCCTGCTACTATAATCCTTCTTAACCTGACGTCTGCAACCATGCAAGAGGCCAGTAAATGTTTCGGGAGAGAAAGAGCTCAACCTAGCCACCAACACCCTCAATCAGAAGTTAAAAAATTACCCGATTGAACAGTTTTGGCGCGTACTGATGCTTCCCGGCTGCATTTTTTGCAAATCAGTAAGATATTCCGCGATTCAACCCGTGCTGTACGTCAAAGAGCGAGGCTGATAGGGGATTATCTACTGACTGATACTGAGAAGCACTGGATGCGATCGTTGGGATCAGAAATATATTCGCCCGACCTCTCGGATGCCCTCTCAAACTCATCATCAGAGACAGTAAAAACGGGTACTTCGTACACTGGGAGGGTTAGTATTTATAGGATACAGTCGCTATGCTTCTGCACACCTTTATCAAGAATAATTGCCCACATAGGGACTCATTCCTGATAGGAAGTTAATCCATTCCCGACTATAGCCTGACCTCACCTGAAGGTTCTGGGGCGCGCTGCTAGTTGCCAGTATAACTGGATGCTGTCTTAGAATGAAGGCCGGATTTTGATGACTGCTTACTTTTTTCTTGACAATATCTCTGACATACATTTGGTCCGACCTTGTGTGTAATAGGCGCTAGGTGGCGGCCACTGCAGCTTGACTCCTGCAAAGGGCGCCTTTAGACTTTGAAATGGAGCAACTGCGTCTTCTTCTAGCCAGCAGCGGCCTTTGTTGCCTTCACAGGATAAAATGTCAATTGCAGAAGCGGGTCTGCTATTATCTCTGATGATGGATCCGCGACACATTTCGAAAATTCAGGCGAATAAAATTCTGGTCCCAACGATCATGTCTGCTTCTTGTCGCAATGCCAATTGTTCTTCAGCCTGACGTGCTGAAGGCTAAAGGGATTGTCTTTCTTTGTTTGGTCACCTTCTTTTGTCCACCGGTCTGATTTAAGTTCTTGTTCCTTGTTCTGTAGTTCCTTTCACTTCTGCGGAGAAATTTGAAGATTCTCGAAGCAGTCTTGTTGTTGCCCAGTTCGGAGGAGTATCCTATTGGCAAAACCTCCATGACGCAGTCCACGGCTGCCATTTTGGACGCGATGCCCAACCCACAGCTAACCGTTGACCACAGTCTACCCGTATCGCCGACCTCTATCAGCACTCTCTACGACTGGATTGATAGCGTTACTTCACTTCAGCTAAACTCCCCGGTACCTTTCTGTCGTTCGTAGTCGTTCTAAAGTGGGCTTCTGCAGCTCACTGAGTGGATTTTGTGACATTTATACCGATTTGTCCCACACATTAAAATGTTTCAGTCTGGTGACCGTTGAGAGTTTAGGGTTAGGATTAGAATTAACCCTTACGGTTAAGTTTAACTTTTGTGGGGTTGAGTTCCTGGACTTCCTTTGTGGCTGCGTGCTCAGTTAGTCTTCTAAGGGGACGTCTTCTTCCAGGACATAGTTGGGATACGTCTCGCGTAACCCAAACATGCCTAATTATAAAAGCCAAGTAGACTAATAGGAAGTAAAATCTGCTGGGTGATCATATAAATCATCCTTGCCCAGGCAACATTGGACGTAACTTTATTGGACTATAGCAGAGGCCGGGAACCTTTTTGACTCAGAGAGCCAAA